GGATCCGTCATCAGCTTCCTCAAATATAAAATGTGGGCAGCGATTGACGTGCCTGTGAGACATCGAAGGAGACACGAACACAACAGATCGCTGATTTATGAGCGCTGTGCACTCGTTCCTGTACCATACACTTCGCCCGGACCAGTGGGCCACAAAAGTACTTCAATACACGGAGCCACCAGGGAAACGGCATACTGAGACCCACACAGAACCGGATGCATGTAGCTGCTGTGCTGTGTGCGTGTGTGTCAGGGCTGTCTTCCTCTGTCTCCCTCTGTGTGTGCCCGAGTGTTTGTGTGTGTGTGCGTGTGTGTGTGTGCGAGGGGGGGACGAGGTCGCCAAGACACACCACAAATATACTCAGCCGCCGCAATTCAGGGAGATTCCTGAGATCACCGGCAGCATTTCATGATGCGACCTGCACACACGCATAGACGACATGCGTCCTTGCATCAATTATATTTCATCCGTGCGTGCGGTTCTCTCACGGCAGCCACGAGTGCGAACAGACAGGGGGACACCAAGCCATACTCCCGTGCAATGCATTCATCGAACGTGGTCTGTCTACTTACCACGGGCGGATACCACCTTGCTCACCTTCTACAGCGGTAGGTGATGGAAACCTTGCTCACCCTCTACAGACACAGGCGTACACACCGATGGATGGATGGATGGATGGATGGACGGCCGGCTGATCCCCTTCCTCTCAGTCAGCCACTCACTCACTCACTCACTCACTCACCACACTGAGTTTGCGGCCAGGCGACCATCCCAGGGCCTTGACCACTTGCGACTGCTCCTGCACAGCACACAACAAGCGACACACACATCTCCCGCCTCCCTCACACATGCCTATGCGGATGGGTGCAGCGCACACTGACCTCTGCGGTCGGCTGCTCCTCCTCCTGGATGACCCCTAGGGCCTGCAACTCAGCACCATTGACGAAAGGCCGTCATTGATATGGCAAAGCGGCGATCAAGAGCCTCCTTTCCCCCCCACATCGCTCGACCGCGCCGCTTGCCATATCGGCTGTTTGGGACAGCCGGCGCAGCATCCGTCTCGGTCGTTTGCAGCTCGAAGCGGATATCGATGAAACGAGGGGGACGAGGCGTCGCCGTCATAGCCACAACGCTTTCGATGTTCTCGCCAGCACGGAGCCCACTCGTGAAAACATCTCGAGTCAGCTCCCTTGAGGCATGTATTGAGTCGATATGACGCTCTGCTACAATGCCCTCGCTTTCGGGAATCTTCTCGGTCATAAGTGGGAAGTCGCGGCAGACATTTTGTCTGAGTGCCAAGCTGCTCTCGACGGCGTAGGTACGATGTGCCTCAGAGTCTCCATTCCGCCCCTAAGAATAATCTGAATGACGGGGAGAGGTATGAGCTGAACAAAAGCAATACTTCAGCGTACCGATGGCCGGCCCGCAGGAGACCGTACTTCACCACACGAAAGGCCGACGGTAAGCCATGCGAGTCCCTGATCCGGTAGATCCCGTTCGCGTCTTGCTGCAGGGACAGGCTCATCGTTCCGTGCAGCACGACGTCTGTCCCTGCAGATGGCTGAATGTCTTGAAAATGGCTTGTATTCACGCTCCTGCAGGCGATCGCCGAGCCTGTTCAGCAGGCCCTGCTCCTTCAGGACAGGCGAGACCTCCTCGTGGTAGCTCTTTGGAAAAAACACCCAAAATGCAAGGCCGAGAACGATTCAGGGCTTTCAGCGGCAGGGCTTCACGTCAATCTCGAAGCCGATGAAGTGCACCAATGCTGAAAGGGGTGTCGTCTCGACATCCTTCGCGTGAAGGGCTGATCTGGCGTCAGAATGTCGGTGAGGCTCTGCTCATCCCATGCATGCCGCGACGTGTAAGCCCAGCTTTGCACGGTCCGCCGGGATGCTGCTCAAATCATAAGAAAGCTCGTCTCTCCCAGCGCAAAAGGGACAGCGGCGGGGGCTGATGCGTCCACCGCTTGGGGGTCGAAAACGACGAAGACAGCGAGAAAGCGCACGAGAAGAGGGCGTCTCGTTTGTGGGAGGAGCAGCAGGCCGTGGAGCCGTAGTGAAGAACAGGGAGCCAAACGTAAGCCAATGTAAGCCTCGAAAATATCGTGAATCAAGAAAAAGTATGGGGCGTCTAGTGTGGGCGTCTCGGCCGGCGAGAATCAATAATTCTCGACTTCAACCTGGCCAGTTTCGCAGATTTTTGGTGCGGGAGATGGACGGGCGCTACGGTGCCACGCCTCACGACCGCCGTTGAGCCAAGGCCTTATCGGCCGCAGCAGCATCTTTTTGCGCCGGGGTGATGGATCGGTGGGTGGCCATGTGGGTGGCTGTGTTTGTGGCGGTCGATAGAGACGCTGCTCGTGACGTCTTCAGTACTGTAGTACACGAAATGAACACCACCAACACAAAACGCAGTAATTGACGCACACAGAGACGAAGACACGCTCATCCCTCCCTCCCTCCCTCCCTCCTGATCCATCCATACATACATACGACAACTGACACATAGAGATGCCCCACACTGGATGGATGCACTGTGTACAGTCTGACAGGCACCCGGGCAAATGCGGACAAAAAGCAATTTCGTTTGCACTGATGGTTCGCCTGCATATGCACGCACCTATCCGTCTATCTGTCGAACACCATGGCTGATACGACCGGCCCCAACACCACACGCGCCAGCCGAGTCGTCACCGGGAAGCGGCGCTTGAACGCAACACCCACACCATCAGACACATCCGGCTCGGTCGTGTACACATCAACACTCACTGCCGACAACCGACAACACCAAACACAGCAGATGGCACATGCAACTCATGCCGAGAGAGAGGTTTGTGCTGACCCGTGAAGGTGTTGTAGACGTCCTTGATAGTGATCCACGCGACGAAGGGATGGCTGCTGTCGGTCAGCACGAGACGGCGGCACGAAACCGTGCCGGCACAGCGTGACGCTGTCGTAGTGCATCCTTCAACTGGTGCGTGGGGGGACTGCCTGAGGAGGGTGTGCAGCCGATCGTTGCCCGCAAACCTGACGAATTACCGGACGCACAACAGACGCATCACAGGAACATTTAAAGGCCCGCGTGTCATGATCGCATCCTACTAAGGACTCACCTGTCGATTACTTTGGTCGTCAAGCTGGTCTGGTGGGAGTCACGGAAGTGGCAGATGACGATGCCCTTGGCGAACGACGACACAGACGAGTTCACGATCGAATAACGACCCCCCAGCCGCACCCAGCCTGTATCCTCTGAGTAGGTGATCCTGCTGCTGACTGGCGGGTTGTGGTCCTGTCCGTGTCGCTGGTACACGTCACCGACAAAGCCGTCGAACTCGAAGCCGTCCTGGTCTCTGATGGCCCGCAGCCTCTCGCCGTCCTGGAACAACTGGAAGGTCACGCTGTTGCCGAAGTTGATGTGGCGGCCGACCATACATAGGTGAGACAGCATACGTGGCTCGGCCAAATACGCCTGCACACCCAAGACATGAACACAGGACCACACACACGATGAGAGCCATCCCGTTCCTCTCTTGTCTTTGCTTACCGTCTTGTGTGGGTATTGGTGCAGATCATCAGCAGTGAGGGTGACGGGAAGCTGGCAGCAACCGCACTGCCCCGCCAGCTCAATCACCTCGCAGATCTCTCCCCAGCCGCCCAACTCAATCACACACACTGCCGCCAGCAGCTCAGCCACACCCAACTGCTCATCGTCGAACGTCAGCAGCTGTATTGTTGGCCGTCCGTTGGCCGTTCGCCGCAGCCCCGCCTGTGTGCCGAGAGAGTGGCCGAGCCGCTGCCGCAGCTGAGGCGCTCCGAAGAGGTCGCTCAGCCATGTGCAAACTGCCCTCAGACGCAGGACGTCACCGACACTGAGCAGATAGAAGTTGCGCCGGCCGACGAAGATGTAAGTGAAGGGTTGCTGCTCCTGCTGCTGCTGAGAGTGCTGCATGCCTGGCAGCATCCCTTGCTCGCCAATTGGAGGGTCTGGAGGGCCGCAACGGGCTGGTCCGTTCTCCTGTACGGGCTTTGAGTCTGAGCCCCAAGAGATTCTGCATGCTGGTGTATGCTGATGACAAAGCGAAGGGCCGAAAGCGATAGCTGATGCGTCTGGGACAGCTTCGAACCCGCCAAATCGCTCGGAAAGTCTGTGGGGGCGTGGGGGCTGACTCGGAGACGCCAATCGGCTCGCGGTTGGAGGGAGCAATCATGGTGGAAGGCGGCTGTGTGAAAGGAAGCGACGAGCCCAAGTCGGTGCTCCCGCCACATCCCTCTACCCTGCTCTTCCCGCCTCCCTTCAGCTGACACAGGTGCTGATCAGCACACCCACAGTGTCACCCCGCCAGCCGCACACAGGACGGCACTGACAGATAGACCGTCATGTGTGAGAACGGCTGGCTGGCCAAGTGGGTGCGGGATGACCCGCAGACGTGGAGCAACGTGCGAGTGCAGGTGGGTGAGTCAGGCAGAAGGACGGCAGAAGCGACACTCACACACACACAAACTCACACACACATGCATCGATTCATCTGGCCCATTCCCGTGTGTGTGCTGCAGGGGATGGGCGGCGAGAGAGGTCGCGGTCTGGTGTGCATCAAGCGGGTGAGCAAGGGGGCGACGGTGCTGGAGGACAGCACACCCATCGTCACACTCCAGCACCACTACAGCAGGTACACTGACAGTATGCCACCACTGGACGGCGTAGGCATTCACACCGGTGATGCGGGTCACATATAAGTGTCGGCGTGTTGTGATGTCAGGCGCTGCTGCGTTGCTTGTGCGGTGTGTCGGCGTGTGGTCGATGACTTCGAAACCCAGACCGACCGAATCCTCAGCAAGTAGGTACCTCCACAGCATAGGACGCCGTCCACACCACACCGCCCTGCCTCTTCTTTATCCGCAGTGTGGGTCAGCGGCTGCACGTCGACCACCCCGATGTGTGGCGTGCGGCCCACCAGGTGCCGCTGCTCATGCACAAGGGGGACATCCCCCTGACCTCACCGCCAATCCCTCCGCCGCCTGTGGCGGCCGCACACACACACTCATCCGCAATGTCAGTGTCGACCGCCTCGTCGTCGGCAGCGGCGGAGTGGACGTACTGCGAGAGGGGGTGTGGGGAGGTCTTCTGCAGCAAGAGATGCAAGAAGGTACGGACACTGACACACACACATGGACGGAAGGCCCCCTGGCTCTCTGTGTGTGTGGACGAGTGGCTGGGATTGTGTGGTGCGTCAGATTGCGTGGGGTGTGTATGCCGATGTGCCGCACCCCCACCGCATTCTGTGTGTCGACCTGCCGGCCGACAAACAGGACGCCTGGGAAGAGTTCAAGAGGTCTCACACATCCACACGCAATGAAGCAGCCAGCGACACACACGTGTATTCCCTCCCTCTCCCTCTCCCTCTCTCCGTGTGTGTGTGTGTGTGTGTGCAGCCACGCGTTGCGGACATACGAGTACTTCCAGCTAGCGGCATCGGTGTACGCCGTCATCATGTTCAACGTGACCTACGGCCGGATGGCCCTCGAGGACGCCATGCAAGAGATGCTGCTCTTCGCTGGCAAATCATGGTACATCCATCCATCCATCCCCCACACACACACTGACACACACATCTCGTGTGTGTGTGTGTGTGTGTGGTAGGCCTGAATTGCTGGACGTGCCCCTGTTGGCTGGGGGCGAGCATGTGACCGTCACGGAGGCCGATGAGTACAAGAGAAAGCGACAGGAGGCGTAAGAGAGCGACTGACCCGACAGCAGACGGAACACCCATACACACAGGCATGAGCGGACTTGTGAATGCAGGCTGGAAGAGTCGCTGCGTCTGCTCAAGGCCGCACTATACGACGTAAGCCACACACCACCCACACACACACGCAGTGGGAGGGGGAGAAAGAAGAAAGCAGCGAGAAGCCACTCATTTGTCTATGAGTGGTGCTCTCTGTGTGTGCGTGTCTGTCACAGCCTGGTAGTTGTTTCGGCCCGCTATTCACAGTGGATGTGTACTCCCGGGTGGTCGGCCAGCTGGACCTCACCTGCGCCGCCGTGCAGCTCACCAATCCCCTCAGTGCGGCCGTCGACACCATCATGACCTCCCACCAACAGCAGCAGCACGAGACGGCCCTCTCCACACCCACACACAGAAACAGACACAGAGGCAGCAGCAGGAGGTCAGTGATGGGCATACCACATGGAAGGCACAAAGGCCCATCCCCCGTCTCTCTCTGTGTGTGTGTGTGTGTGTGTGTGTGGCTGGCAGTGTGTGGCCGTCATCGATGTCCTTCGCGTCGCTGCTGCTCCGCGGCACAGCTGAGAGTGAGCCCAAGACGCCCAAGACGCCCTCGTCCGCCTGGAGTGACGGCAACTCGTCCACGTCGGCGTCATGGGAGTACCCCGAGGACACCTTCGCACGCACAGTCAAGCCGGTCGGTCAGCCATGTACCACAACAAACAAACAAACAGATGGATGGATGGATGTGTGTGTGTGTGTCTTCAGCTGCTGGGCGTGCTGGCTCGTGTGGTGCGCGAGCGGCGGGATGAGTACAACGCCATGCAGGGCAGCCTCTTCCCGCCGGAAATGAACACCGATGGTGCGTGGGGATGGTCGAGTCTCTCTCCCTCCCTTAGGCCATATGTCTGTTGTGGGGGTGTGTCAGATGGCACTGAGGATCTCTCGTCTTTCCCGGACTTTGAGGGCGTCGCCGTCTTCAAATCGTTAGCCCACCACCCGTCCCCCCACACCACTGCCACCACACCCACACAGCTGCTCCCGCTCTGTCCGTCTGTCTGTCTGTCCGTCTGTCTGTCTGTCTGTCTGTCAGTGTGTCTTTTCTGAACCATTCCTGCGACCCCACAGTCGATGTGGTCTTCGGCAGGGACACCTCGGTGCGTGTGGTGGCGAGGGGCGACATGCGCATGGGCAGCGAGTGCCTCATGAGCTACACGGGGTGCACTGAGGACAACAGCGACCTCAGCCGGAGGCAGCACACACTGCTCTACGACTACAAGTTCCTCTGCACCTGCGCCACGTGCAGATCACAGGTGAGGTGCGGCAGCCCACCACACGCACCACGCCAAATGCCGCCAGTGTGTGTCCATTCGTTCGTTCACGCAGGCAGCCGACATTATGTGCCGCCGTCGCGCGGCTGCAGGGGGCAACACCAGCGGCCCATCGTCATCGGCAGCGTCGTCACTGCCAGTGCTGCTGCCAGCGACGCCTGTGGTGCCGCCCACCGCTGCACAGGTGGAGGCGGCCCAGCGGGTCGTCGCTGAGGTGCAGCACCAACAACGCGCCAACAGCAGCAAGACCAACAAGGCAAAGAAGAAAAAACGCAAGACATAGACACAAGGAGAGAGAGAGAGAGAGGGAGGGAGGGAGAGGGGTGCGTCTGTGCAGGAGGGTATCTGTAAGCGTAATGGGGCGAGGTCGGTCGCTGCTTAGTGGAGGGTAGTAGGGACGGGCCGGCAGGGAGAGAGAGAGGGAAGGGGGGAGGGAGGGAGGGAACGGGGATGTTTGGATCTAGGTCACCTTTTGCTGCTCGACTCGATCGGCTTTTGCTGTTTTGCCACCTTTCGCCTTTACCAAGGCCGCCATCCACCCCGTGCATTCTGGCTGCATGCCACGCGGCCGATTTTCCGACGAGAGAGTATGGCCGCGGTCAGTTTTCCTAACAGCCTTGCCGTTTTGTCGTATTGGTGCGTGTCGATACATAATTCGCACGTGGCATTCACGCATTTCCATGTGTGTGTGCGCGTGTGTGTGTGTGTGTGTGGTTGCCCCCTCCCTCCATCCCTCCCTCCATTGTGGATGCACGCAGAGATGGTGGCGCGATTTTCCTCTCCTCTCACGCCCCACCATCCATCCGTCCATCCGTCCCCTCCGCTTGGTTGCATGCTTACGGTTGTCTATCTAAGTGTCTGTTCTGTGGCTGACTGCTCTGCTCTGCCTCTGTCCACTTTGTCTCTCTCTCTGTTGTGGTTAGCAACTACTTGCTGTGTGCGAGTGGCGTGGCGTACACACACGCATGCCTGAATTCGTTGAGCTTTGCGCCGATCCTTCTCTCCCTCCTCTCTCTGTGTGCTCTGCAGTGATGAGCCAATGGGTTGCCCACTTATTTGTTGGTTGCATCATTTCTGTGTGTGAGAGTGTGTGCAGTGTATGCGGGTGGACTCAGACGCACCAGCGAGATCACATGCAGTCAATATCTATCATGAATAATGCTATTCTGTCTGACTCGTCAGTCACTGGGGTTGATCAATCAATCAAAGCCCCGCAACACGCAGTCGAGAGGCCACAGAAGCTCAGCTGCTCTGCTTGGGAATCTATCCATTTTGTTTGTCCGACACTATCAGCCAAGGAAGACTGTCTGTCTGCGCGCGTCATGCGTCAGTCGATTTCTTGACGCTTTCCTGAAGTGTCCTCTCCAAGTCCCTCATGGCCTCATCCAACACCTGCACACCACACGCCGCACGAAGACACAGACAACCAACCACAATGAAATACACGCGCATTCACACACTCGTGCGTACCTCTTCGCTGACGATAGGCGCTGCCCGTCTGGGCCGGACCACTCTGAAGCTCTCAAATGACGACCCACTGGGCCTGCTGCTGCTCTCCATGCTACTGCTGCTGCTGCTGCTGCTGCTGGCATTGCTCGCATGTTTGTCTGGCGGGGCTGTATGGTGTCGCAATGGGGCGGGGCGGTCACGAGAGAAATCTGACACACACAAGGAAGGGGCACAAAGCGCATATCATAGCAGGTAGAAATGTGCCAGCCGCGCGTTCTTTCTCTCACCAAATGTCACATAGGTGTCGTCATCTGCTGCTCCATCGTCGGCCGCTGCCGAGGTGGGCATCGTTGTCGTCGCGTGTTGGCGGCTGTGTGTGCCTAGCGCCCTCCTGCTCTTGCGGCCGCCCCCTGCTGCTGCTGCTGCTGCTGCTGGCGCATGATCAGGAGGGTGTGATACCTGGCAGACATACAGACAGACAACAGACAGACAGACAGACAGACGGAAATGCAGAGATATAGAAGTGATTGTGTGGTTCCGTGGACGGATGTGTGCCCACCTGGCCTCTTCCCATGCCCAGATTGCTCCACGACGGCCGGCCTCTGCAAGTGGTCGAGTGAACGGGAGAATGCATCGAATGCGACACATGCATACCTCTTGTGGCGTTGTGACTGGCTGTCGGCCGCATCTGCTGCTGTGGCTGCTGCTGCTAGTGGCCTCTCGTCATGGCCACCCACACTTCCCCTCTGTCTGCCGCTCTCAGCAATCATCATCATGTGTGCAGAGGACCACTCTGTTTGACAGACACCCACACACAGAGGACAGCCAGCAGAGTGAGAGACAGAGGGAGCCATTTTCTCTCTACCTGTGTGTGGGTCGTCATCGATGAGGCCATGTTGAGCGTCAGCAGCATCGGCTGAGTCAGCGAGGAGGGGCACAGGCGTCGGCGGCGGGATGGCCGCCGTGTCGTACTGGTAATCCATCAACAGACCTATGTCCTATCCTCCACACACAAAGACACGCACAGCCGTCCGTCTCTCTGTCCGCCAATGCACCCACTGACCGACCTCCTTAGTGAGCTGCAGCACATCGTCAGGCCGCGCCTTCATCAGAGCCGACCACATCCGACGCTCACGCTTGCGCATGAAGCTGCACACAACACAACACACCGGCCCTTGTGCGTGTGTGTGTGTCGACGTGTGCTCGTCGCGAGCCTCTGACTTGATGGCGGCAATCCAGGAAATGAAGCAGAAGTTCTGCCAGTGAGGCCGACCTGTTTGCACACAGACACACGCATAAACAAACACCCACACAGTGTGTGAGGGGGAGGAGCTTCCCACCACACGCACGCTAATTACCAGCTTCGCATCTCATCTCCTGCAGCTCAAAATACGACCGAACCAGACCCTACACACACCGACAGACACAGACAGACACAGACAGAGAGAGAGAGAGAGAGAGGGTGCAGTCATCCGTCCAGCGTCGATTGTTGTTTGTTTGTGTTGCCGACCTCGTTGATGCGTATGATGGCTGGGTGCATCTTGGCCTCCTTCATCTCCTCCAGTATCAACAACGCCTGGACAGTCAGTGCACCCAGGAATGCGACGAGCGTTCGTGACTGAATGCGCCGAGTGTGCAGACCTGTTCGCTTCTGTGTCTGTGTGAGAGAATGAATCCGTGCAGCTTCAGCGTGTAAGTCGCCTCGTCCAGCAGCATATTCTGACTCCTGCCGGCACACATGATACCAACACACACGCAACCACTCATATGCTGCCCTCATCGCAATAGCCTCGCCGCTCACTCACTTCATCTGCTCGAAGAGTCTTTCCCATTCGCACCAGTCCCTCTCAACGATGGCCCGCCACAGTCGCCAATAATACGTCATCTTGCTCTCTGCCCTCACCTAATCCACGCACGCACACACACACACACACATACAGACCAGACAGGCATACACAGATCCATGATGAGTGCAGATGGCTGCCTCTCCCGCCTACACACCTTCATGTGCTTGCCCTCTCTGTCGACCTTGACAGGAGCCTTCACAGCCTTCCTGTGATGGGCTGATGGGTAGATGGTTAGATCAGCACGTTGACTCAACATCGGCGGCAGGCGATGCCGCAACAACGCGCGACTCCTCGTCAGCTGCGGGCTGCCATGCGATAGGGCAAGGCCAGAAGCACTGCAGACCATCTTTCTCATCTCCTGATCCATTGCGAGCTTAGCCGGGAGATGTGTTATGTGGTTGAGTGGATGAGTGGACGTGTTCGATGAGGGGCGGGTGGGCAAGACATCAACAGACACACAGATGTGATAAGCTTTGCATGGCGAGTCCACTGGTTGATAAACAGAGGACGGATGTGCACACCCTCTTGTGGTGCCGTCCATCCATCCATCCAGCCAGCCAGCCAGTCAGTCCATCCCATTATATACACACACCAAATGCGGCTCCCAAATCGTCTAATCCCCTCTGCTACACCACATGCACCATGCACTCGGTTTGTTTATGTGAGGCATACAAAAGCGAATCGAACCTCCATAAAGCACTCATCTCATCTCACGCCAAATCGAAACATCCCCCCCTTCCTCACCTGCTATTCCCCATCACGTCACGTGAAGCACCTCTATCTCATCCGCCATGAAGTAATTCTTAAACGACCCGCCCAGCCGAGCATGGCCACCGGCATCCCTCTTCCCCGTGTAGCCCTCAGGCACATAGTCGCTGGGAATGCGCTGTGCACAGCTGCGGATGTCGGCAGCTGGCTGGTCACTGTGCTCGTCGTCACCCAGAGCCAGCCAATCACCGATTCTCACACTCCCACGATCCCGCGCACTCCCCTCCCTCCCCTCCCTCCCCGCCACCGTCACCCACTCATCCTCTCGGTCGATGTCGATCTTGGTCGGCGTGTCGAAGTGGCCGGTCAGCGAAAACCACCACAGGTCACAGTCGTACTCGTGCATGCCGGTCGGAGTGTCAGGCAGCATCAGACCGCAGTTAATGAAGGCGCCGAAGACATACTTGTCCTTTCTGATTACAAACACGAGAGGCTCTGCGTCGCCCACACTGTCCAGCAGGTCATCGTAAGTGGTGCCGTTCACCGACGACCTACGGCCCCCCCCCGCACACACACACACACACACACACGCGCAGATCTCTCTCTCTCTCCCTTTGTGTGTGTGTGTGTAATTGCATACCGGTACAGGGAGGTGATATTGAGTTCTGTGCCATTGTCACTGCCCATCAAGTCGAGCAGCCCCTGATACTCTGACGCAGACAACGACGTGCCGTCAGGCGGGGACACCTGCTGCTGCACTCGACGGACCTGCACACAAGGCACAGCCACAGAGCGGATGACTAATCTAATGAATGAAGGGCCACAGCCTACCAGATGGGCCTCCGTCCACGCCAAGCTGAGAGTCACCATCAGCAGTGCAGCACACCTGCAGTGCCGTGCCATCGCGTCGACGAAAGAAAGTCTTTGTCGTCAGTCTAGCCACAGGCAGCCTGATGAACAAGACAGCAGTGAGCGAGACGACGGGAGTGAGCACACCACCTGGGAGGAGAGAGAGATCTGCTTTTCGCAGCGGTTTCAGGGAGCACCCTAGGCGGCCTGACAAAATCTGCTTGTCACCTCGAGTTCAGACAACCGATCCATCTGTGTCTTCCGACTTCCTCCGGCCAGATTTGTCGTCAGTCGTCCACTTTGGCCTCGTCGGTGAGGTCGGCGGCAGAGATGCGCACGCGGCGAGTCACTCAGGTGAGCGAGGGAGGGAGGGAGGCCTCGTGCGCCGCCATGTAAGGCGGCTGCTCGGCTCTGTGTGCTGTGCTACAGATGTCTGTCTGTCTGTTGGTGACTGAGTCAGTGAGTGAGTGTCCGTGACGGCAGACACTGCTGCAGATGAGGGGCGCCGAGGTGCTTGGCCGTCGAGTGCAGTCGAATGCCGCAGTGGTCCGCAGGCAGCCACACACACATGGATGGATGGATGTGCCACACAGAGGAGAGGACACACACAACGGTCTGTGTCGCATGGGTGGGTGCAGGTGTGACTCGGTGACGGTGAGGGTGCTGTCTGTCTGTTGCGGAGGCCATGCCGATGGCGCTGGTGGGCAACGTGACGACCCGCTGGCCATCACAACTGACTGACTGACTGACCGACCGGCGCTGAGTATTTTGTGTGTGTGTATGAGAGGTCGGCCGATGTGTCGACGACTGACTGACTGCCTCTCTCTCTGTCTTTGTGTCTCACGCGAGTTGGTTGTGCGTTGCTCTCAGTGTGTTGTGTTGTGTGGTCTGGTTGCCACTGTCATATGTGTCGCGGTCATGGACTGCCGTGACTGGTGGTGTATATATATACCCATTGCATGCTTGCGAGTGATGGATGGCTTCGTTTGTGTTTGGCCCCAGCCAGCAGCTCGCCTTCCCACTCGATATCGGTCACTCCATTGTGACCATTGGTACGCTGATCTTCGATGGCAGGGGGATGTCATTGTCGGTTGTCTTGATGTGATGCGCAGATCTTGGCGTCTGTGCCTTGGTGTGCGTCCTTTTTGGCCTCTCTGGCGACGTGAGGTTGTGATTTGGTACGCGCATGCTCCCCTGATGCGTTCACGTCGCCACAGCAGACACATGCGTTTCCTTGTGTCTCACTTGCTCGTGTGTGCAGCTGTTGATACGTGTGCTGATCTGCCATGGCGTCCCATTCACCTGGCGGACTCGCACTTGACTTTGGGTACGTGTGGGGGACACACTCACTCACTCCTCACCCATCACCTGTGTGTGGCCGTGTGCTCATGCTTGTGTGTGTGTTGGTGTGTGTGTGGTGTTCCGCGCGTGCATCTATATGCGACGCTGGGTGGACCTCTGTACGTTGATCGTCTGTCTACTTCTGTACCTCATGTCGAGCGGCATGCATTCGCACGTCACCCCTGACCTGGGGCATCCACTCGACACCACACCGGCCACTGGCCATTATCCATAATATGTCCACTGCACCACACTTCTCAGCCGTCAGCTGCCATGAGTGTGTCGGCTGATGAGTAGGGGGCGGGGGAGAGATGACAGACAGACAGAGAGGGATGAGTGGCTGGCTGGCCGTACAAAGGAATCGCTGTGTGGGGTGGCGGTGGCCGTCTGTCTGTCAATCGGTAGTCTGAGACGTTTGCTCGCGAGAGTGTGTTGATCTCTCGTCGATGCATCCGTCACACACGACCGGCTGACAGACAGACAGGCCGACACACACACTCAAAGAGAGAAACCGTTTTGGTTTTGCCAGCTGTGTATGGTTTTCTTTGCGTGTGTGTCCTCCCCTCTCTCTGTGAGCATCTCAGAAGTCGTGCTGCAACAACAGAGCGTCAGCCCACGAAGGGTGTTGGTGCTTAAGGGTTGCCGGGCGGCGACAGAGATGCCCACAGAGGGGGGCGGGCGAGGGAATGGGCATGCTGCTGTGATGATCCGTGGGAAGGAGAAAGAGAGAGAGAGACGTCGCTTTGGTTCGTGTGTCGTGTGCATCGTGTGTCGGTGTGGCCGGCGGTTTTTTTTCTTGAGTATTGGTTATTAAGCGGCCGACACACACACACACACACACACACGCAGAAGGAGTGGCCAGGCCGTTCGCGCTGTTCGTTGAGTGACCTCCTCACTCTCATTATATCGGTTGATACATGGCGAGTCCATTGATGGATAAACAGAGGATGAATGTGCACACCCTCTTGTGGTGCCGCCCATCCATTCAGCCAGTCAGTCCATCCCATTATATCCACACCACATGCGGCGACTTGAACAAAGAAGTAGCTGCATTTCTCCCCAGATCATCTAATCTTCTCTGCTACACCACATGCAATATGCACTCAGCACACCGAGAGACCTCTCATCTCATCCGCATGCAAATCCTCGACCCACCCAGACAGGCACTCTCACATCGACCCTGAGCTCACATCATGCGAAAGGACATGCAAAATAGAAACAACGAGAGCCACAGACAGACACACGTCCGCGTCGCTGATGATGAAATCGTTGGTGATGATATGAAAGGCGCCTGCAGCACTTCTATCTCATCTGCATGAAACCTATACGACCCGCCCAGCAGAGCACCGACGCTCGACTCCCCCGTATAGCCCGCAGGCATAAAGCTGCTGGTAGTGTACTGCGCACAGTTGCGGATGTCGCCATCATGTACCCACCCATCTTCCGGTACCCACCGATACAACTCGTCCAACTTCAGGTACCCACCCAACCTCCGGTACCCACCAATCATCACACTCACACCGCCCGCACTGTGCCCCGCCACCATCACATCCACCCCCTGATACATTTCGCGGGCGTCGATCTTGGTCGGCTTGGCGAAATGCCCGGCCAGCGAAAACCATCGCACGTCACACTCATAGTCGTTGTAGTCGGTCGGGTCATCGGGCAGCTCCAGACCGCAATTGATGTGAACGCCGAAGACATACTTGTCCTTTCTGATTACAAACACGAGAGGCTCTGCGTCGCCCACACTGTTCAGCAGGTCATCGTAAGTGGTGCCGTGCACAGACGACCTACGCCACACACACACACACACACACATCTCTCTCTCTCTCTCTCTCTGTGTGTGTGTGTGTATGATTGCGTACCGATACAGTGAGGTGACATTGTCAGTGCCCATCAAGTCGAGCAGCCCCTCATACTCTGACGCGGACAACGATGTGTTCTCAGGTGGGACACCAGCTGCACTCGAGGACCGCTGTAATACCCATCCACAAAGCACTCATCGCATGCCAAATCGAAACATCCCCCCTTCCTTACCTACTATTCCCAACCACGTGAAGCACCTCTATCTCATCCGCATTGAAATCGGATTTATACGACCCCAGATGAGCATCGCCATTCCAATCGCGCTCCCCCGTATAGCCCGCAGGCACGTCGTCGCTGTCGGTGATCTGCACACAGCTGCGGATGTCGGCAGCCGACCGGTCACTGTCCTTAGCGTCACCCAACCGCAGGTACCCACCGATTCTCACATTCCCGCGCTCCCCTCCCTCCCCGTCACCCCCACCCACTGCTTGTCTTCGTCGACATCAATCTTGGTCGGCTTTGCGAAGTGGCCGGCCAGCGAGAAATGCCACAAATCACACTCATACTTGTGGAGTCTCGTGGAGTTGTCGGTCAGCTGCAGACCGCAATTAATAAAGGCGCCGAAGACATACTTGTCCTTTCTGATTACAAACACGAGAGGCTCTGCGTCGCCCACACTGTCCAGCAGGTCATCGTAAGTGGTTCCGTACACAGACGTCCTACGACACACACACATACACACAGAGAGAGAGAACGCCACACACACATGCATCACGTCATGCATCTATCTCTCTCTCTCTGTGTGTGTGTGTGTAATTGCCTACCGGTACAGTGAGGTGAGTTCCGTGCCATTGTCATTGCCCATCAAGTCGAGCAGCCCATCATATTCAAACCCGGACAACGACGTGCCGTTAGGCGGGGACACCCATCCGCCGTCATACCCATCCACCTGCAGCACCTCCATCTTATCCGCATGGAAGAAGTCCGACCCGCCCAGAACTGCACCACCGCCGTGATACTCCCCTGTGTAGCCTTCAGGCACATCGTCGCTGTGGGTGTACTGATAGCAGCTGCGGATGTCGGCAGCCGGCCGGCCACTGTTCTCGTCGTCACCCAAATACAGAGCCCCACCGATCTTCACATTCGCACCCCACGCACTCCCCTCCCTCCCCGCCACCCGCACATTCTGCTCCCTTCGGAGCTTGGTCGGCGTGTCGAAGTGGCCGGCCAGCGAGAAATGCCACAGGTCACAGTCGTACCAGTGCCTGCCGGTCGGGTCGTCGGGCAGCTTCAGACCGCAATTGATGAAGGCGCCGAAGACGTACTTGTCCTTTCTGATGACAAACACGAGAGGCTCTGCGTCGCCCACACTGTCCAGCAGGTCATCGTAAGTGGTGCCGTTCACCGACGACCTACGCCACACACACACACACACACACAAAACACACACCTCTCTCTCCCTCTGTGTGTGTGTCTGTATGATTGCATACCGGTACAGTGAGGTGACATTGAGTTCTGTGCCATTGTTACTGCCCATCAAGTCGAGCAGTGCCTTATACTGTGACGCAGACAACGACGTGCCCTCAGGCGGAGACACCGGCTGCCCGCCCACGCGCAGCACCTCTATCTCATCCGCATGGAAATTCTCCGACCCGCCCAGCACAGCACTGCCAGGTTCGCTCGACACGCCCACATAGCCCTCAGGCACATGCCACTTCCTCTGACGGCAGCTGCGGATGTCGGCAGCTGGCTGGTCACTGTCCTCGTCGATACCCAGCCGCAGGGACTCACTGAGCGGCCCACCGATCTCCACATTCGCACCCCACACACGCCCCTCCCTCCCCGCCACCCACACCCACTGATCGTCTTCGTCGAACTCGATCTTGGTCGGCTGGGCGAAGTGGCCGGCCAGCGAGAAATGCCACAGATCACACCAGTACTTATGGCTGTCGGTGGGGTCGTCGGGCAGCTTCAGACCGCAATTGATGAAGGCGCCGAAGACGTACTTGTCCTTTCTGAAGACAAACACGAGAGGCTCTGCGTCGCCCACACTGTCCAGCAGGTCACCGTAAGTGGTGCCGTTCACCGACGACCTACGCCACACACACACACACACACCTCCCTCTGTGTGTGTGTGTGTGTGTGATTGTGTGTGATTGCATACCGGTATAGTGAGTTGAGGTCTGTGCCATTGTCACTGCCCATCAAGTCGAGCAGCCCCTGATACTCTGACGCAGACAACGACGTGCCCTCAGGCAGGGACACCTGCTGCTGAACTCGACGGACTTGCACACAAGGCACAGCCACAGAGCAAATGACTAATCCAATGAACGAATGGGCCACAGCGTACCTGTTGGGCCTCCGAGTCAGTCCACGCCAAGCTGAGAGTCACCAGCAGCAGCGCAGCACACCTGCAGTGTCGTGCCATCGCGTTGACGAAAGAAAGTTTTTCTCGTTCAGTCCAGCCACAGGCAGCCTATGTGATGAACAAGACAGCAGTGAGCGAGACGACGGGAGAGGGTGTAGGCAGAGAGAGAGATCTGCCCTTCGCAGCGGTTTCAGGGAGCACCCTAGGCGGCCTGACAAAATCTGCTTTTCACCTGCAGCTCAGACAACCGATCCATCTGGCGGTAAGCAGCTACTAGTAGTTGCGATGACGAGTCCTGGGTGACCCCGCCCTCCGAGTCTTTTGCGAGTCCGATTGGGAGATCTCCCGTTTCCTGAAGCGTTGATGGCGTCTTCGGGTGTGCCTCACGGCGGTGCGTATGAGTCGGGGCCGGGCGGGAATGAGAGAGGCAGCGAGGACTTCGTTCGATACTACCAGGCACAACGCATTGTACCCGACGGTAGGGCGATGGCTGATTGATGTGGCGTGACGTCTGTGTGCATCCATCCATCGATTCATCCATCTCTGTCTGTCTGTCTGTCTGTCCATTGATTGATCATTGATTGGTTAGATGAGTGGGAGGCCTTCTACGGTAGGCTGCTGACGGACCTCAACACAACCTTCCGAATCGTCAGTGGCACACTGCACACGGTAGGCACACAGGCCATCACATGCGGCTCTGTGTGTGAGCCAAATGCATGTGTGTGTCAGGACTTCCTCCGCTCATTTGTCGAAGATTGCCGCAGAGAGTGAGTGGATGGATGGAGGCACACAGAGAGAGTGCTGGCGGCCATATTACTCTTTCTCTCTCTCTGTGTGATGTCTGTGTGATGTGTGTGTCAGTGCGTTGGAGAGCCTGACGAGCGACCCTGAGCTGGCCAAGGAGGTCCAATTCACAACAATAGAGTGGTCAGCCAACAACCCCATAGAGTGGTCAACACACTGAAGAACAATCTTGTGTGTGCAGGTATCCCGATCACTTGGCTTACGACGTGGCAATTCCCCGGCCGGTGCTCAGAAAGAGCCCCGCGCTCAAGTAGCCAATGCCAGCCAGCCAGCCAGCCACGATGGATAGATGGATGGATGGATGGCGTGCAGGCAGTTTCACGAGTTCCTCGTCAAGCAGTCTGAGGCAGGCACCATATTTCGGCAGGTCCGTGACTACAACACGACACGACACAACACAAGGAACACACACGCATCCACGAGAGGGTGTGTGTGTCTGTGTGTGCAGGAGGCTGTGAGCATGGTGCCGCCGCTGCTGCTGGATGTGCGCAGCGGCCACACGGTGCTCGACATGTGCGCAGCGCCCGGCAGCAAGACCGCACAGCTGATTGAGGCGCTCTCCAAGCCGCCAGAGGGTTCTGCTGACAGCAACAGCAGCAATAGGGAGCCTGACGGTTGTGTGGTGGCCAACGACGGCGAGAGCAGACGGGCGCACATGCTGATACACCATCTCAGGCACCTGAGCAGCCCCAACCTCATTGTGACCACACACAGCGCACAGGTAGCTCTTCCCTAACACACACACACACACACACCTACACACACACACACAGAGAGAGAGAGAGAGAGATTAAGAGGAATCTCGCTGCGTGCTTGTGCAGTTCTTCCCCCATCTGTTTGACGCATCCACGGGCGAGCGTCTCTTCTTCGACAGAATACTATGCGACGTACACAGAACTCCACAGCACAAGACAACACGCGATGCAGCCAATGTCGAAGAGATCATCCCTGTCCCTCTCTGTGTGTCAGGTGCCATGTACGGGCGACGGCACCCTGAGAAAGGCACCGAGCCTCTGGAACAGGTGGGTGCTGTTATGGCATAGGAGAGAGGAGGGGAGGGAGGAGAGGCCAGGCACACACACACAGAGACAGAGAGGGAGAGGGATCGGTCACTGTGTTGGCCTGTGTGTGTGTGTGTGGTTCAGGTGGCATCTGCACATGGGATTGGGTCTGCACAAGCTCCAGCTGCAGATACTCAGGAGGTCGGAAAGGAAAACCCCACACGGATACACGCGTGTGTGTGGATGTGTGGCTTTCTTTAATCAGGGGTCTGAAGCTGCTCAAGACGGGGGGCCGGTTGGTGTACAGCACCTGCAGCTTCAACCCCATCGAGAATGAGGCCGTCGTCAACGCTGTCCTGGTCGGTCAGCAAAGCAAAGCACACCATCATCACACCACGCACATGGCACGCACTAAGATTGCCGGTTGGTTCGTTAGGATGAGGCGGGTGAGGCATTGGAGGTGGTCGACTGCTCTGACGAGCTTACGGAGCTCGCCAGACGGCCTGGACTGACCACATGTGCGTACCTCTGTCTGTCTGTGAGAGCAGACACACATGACAACAACCGCCACCGTCACCGGCAATGCCTGTTTTGTGTGTGTGTGTGTGACGTGCAGGGCAAGTGCTCTGGAAAGACACCTGGTAGGTGCCACCCCACCACATCCATCCATCCATCCCTGTGTGTGCATGTGTGTGTGTGTGCAGGTACTCCACCTTTGACGAAACCCAAGGCCGCGTCCGCAGGAAGGTCAAGCCATCGATGTTCCCCCCACCTCCACCGCAGGAGCCACACGCCAGCCACCGCCACACCCAGCTGCGGCGGTGCCTGCGGTTCTTCCCCCACCTCTCCAACACGGGCGGCTTCTTCGTGTGCCTCCTGGAGAAGCGCGCAGCCATGCCCTGGGACAGCTTCCCCGACCAGGCTGCGACATCGTCGACCACAGAAGATGCAGTGGGAGAGGGACAGGGAGAGGGAGAGGGAGGAGAGGGCGTGACGATTGACACCGAGGAAAATGAGAATGAGAATGACGACGGTGGGGCGGTCGAGGGAGACGAGGAGAGAGAGGGGGAGAGAGAGGGGGAGGCGTCCACGAGCGAGGCGCAGCCAGCAGCTAAGGACTCGTGGCGCTCACAGGAGGACTTCATGTCACTCAAACAGCTGGTCCAACAGGTAGGTCTCAGCAGCCAACACACACACACACACACACAGAGAGAGAGAGAGAGCCGGGGCGCCATCCATCCATCCATATCTGTCTTCGTATGCACGCAGCTGTCATCTGCCGACGGTCGCCCATGTGGCCTGTGGGACCGCATCGGCATGCCCTTCGGCCTCCCAGCCGACGGCGACCTCCTCGACGCCCTGTTTGTGCGGACGCCCCCGTCCGACGCCCCCAAAAAGGTGAGCAAACACCCCTCCCCTCTCCCTCTCGCAATGGCAGACAAATGCCTGTGCGCGTGTGTTGTGTGTTCTCAGGTGTGGTACGCTTCCTCTCGGGTCGGTCAGCTGCTGCAGCGCATCGGCAAGTCTCCCTACAAGATCATCAGCGTGGGCTGCCCGGCATTCGAGCGCGTCTCTACCGGCGGCCCCTACCGCATGCTGCAACACGCTGCCAGGTGGCTGCTGCCGCGTATCCAGCACCCCTCTATCGCAGCAGCGGCAGCCGAGGACGATGTAGCCAAAGGCACACAGCAGGTGGTTCGGGTGGGTCGAGAGGAGCTGGGGCTGCTGCTGGCGAAGGGTGAGGCCGGCAAGATGCCGCGTGTGTCGATGAAGGACGAGAGCTTGCCGGAGGGGCTGCGGGGGCGGCTCGAGAGCCTCACGAGGGAGGCGCCCTTCCTGGCGGTGGCGAGAGGGCCGGACGATGGTGGTGGCGAGGCGGCGGCCATGAGCATTGTGGTACCACTCGTGCAGTCATGCATCTCCAGGCACACAAACAGCGGAGCATCGCTCTCTGTCTGTCTGTGTGTCTGTCTGTGTGTGTCAGCTGCCGGGGTGGTGCGGCCGTCAGAATGTGGAGCTCATGCTGGACGACAACACGCGATATGCGCTGCACGCGCTCATACACAAACATACCAGCAAGACACAGAGTCAGGTTGAGTGACGGTCATTTGTGATGAGACGTTGCCTGGGTGGGTTAAGGGTGCTGCACGTGTGTGATGAGACATTGCCTTCGCGAACCGGGAGGAGAGATCGACATTGATGGCATCCCTCCCATCCCATCATCCCACGGTCAACCATTGCGCACACGGGTCTTCACTCCCACACACACACATGCGACACACGAAGACTGCACACACGCACACATCAAGCCCACAAGTGCACTGCGTCGACACATCAGCCATTTATGTGTGGCGGTGGTCAAAAGCCCAAAACCGACAGACATGCAGACAGGAGCGCTACAGCCGATGATTCGCACACACTAAGGTTGAATGCCCTACTATCAGCTCCCCCCACCCATAGTCAGCTCAGTGTGGTCGTCACCTTCCGGCTGCTGCGAGTGGTGCGGCTCTCCTCGACTGCTGGTGATGGTGGTGGCGGCGTCTGTGTGATGCCGCAAAGGCGCTCGAGGGCCTCGCTGAAGCCGTCTTGGTCGTTGCTGCTGACCAGGTGCTGTGCCACCGACCGGACAGACGCATGAGCATTGGCAGTGGCGACAGAGTGACCCGCCAACCTGAAAGCAATCCATCCATCCATCCATCCAACCATCCAGCAGCTGCTCTTCTGTCTCTGTGTGTGTCGTGAGCAATGGACGGCTCACGTGAGCATTTCCTTGTCGTTCTCGGCGTCGCCGAGGGCCAGCATGTGACGCAGGTCCATCTGTGCGGCAATTAACAACGGAGGCACTCATGACCGACCGACGCTTACGTACATGCAGCCAACAACACCAACTCACTCACTGACCGACCTGCATGTGCTCCATCAGCCGCCTCACACCGTCGCCCTTAGACGCACCTGCGCACACAAACACAACACATACACATGAACGCAGCCGTGGTCGGCCCCCATGCACCCACCTCACTCACTCACCCAGTGGCAGGATTTCCAGCATGGTGGGGAGTGCCTGTGTGATGGTGGCCTTGCCGGCCAGCCGACCCTCCACCCACCCCCGCAGCGCATCGATCCGCTCCGCCTCGTCGAGAATGATGAACTTGTTCACGAGCAGCTCGCCTTGCCCATTCCTCACACCCCTGGTCCCTGAGCTCTCACGACTGGTGTCACGACCTCTCAGCGCATCGGTGAGTGGCCCGATTGGGTGCGGCCGGGGCTCCTTGTAAGTGGCGAGCCGGTCGGTGTGGTGTGTCCGTTGCTCGCAGAGGATGGCGTCGCCGCTGTATGCCACAAACGAGGCCTCCAGGGAACGGCACATCTCGACGACCGACTCAGACGTCGCGGCGTCCATCGTCCGGGTAAAGACGAGATCGTTCGGCCCGTCAGGGCCGTACACCAACAGCCCCTGCACACACAAACAACACACGCCTTTGGATGACTTTGGGAATCCCTGTTTCGGCTCACTCACGGACTTACGTTGAGATACACGCCAGGCGACCCCTCTCGCCTCAGTTCTTCACCGAGGACTTGACCCATGGCGTTGAAGGCCCCCGGCCGGCTCCTGCCTGTGGCCGGGAAGATGGCATATCCTCTCCGCATGGCCTCCCGATAAGCCCACACATTGGCTGGGGAGCACCCATGGCTGCTGTTCAGAAAAGTGCCATCGAAATCTGACAAACAGGACACCCAATATCATAAATCCGTATGCCTGTGCTCCCGCACTCTGCGCCGTGCGAACAAACACGCACCTGTGGCTATGGCCCTGATCACCGAGGTGCCGCTGCTGTGGTCATTGAGAGAAGTGTTGTGGCGCCGCACGAGGGACGACAGGCGGCTGGCGGGGCGGCGGAGAGAGGCAGATGGAGGGCAGTCATGCCGGTGGGGGAAGGCTCGGATGGAGGATGGGATGAGTAGGGAGAGCAGTATCACCAGGAGGTGACGGGCGGCGAAGACAATGGAAGATGGCAGTGAGGCAGCTTCTGTGGCAGCTTTGTCCTGCTTCATTCTGTTGTGGAGATCTCTTCCCTCCGCAGGCTGAGCTCGCAGAAGCGATCGCTCTCCCCCCCTCCCTCCCTCCCTCCCTCCCTCCCTCCTTCCCTCCCTCTTTTTTCCCCCTCCCAAGGCCTCCACGCTACAAGTAAAAGCAAAAATCGGAAGAGATCCAGTCATCCCGAGTCATCTTTCATCTACGACAATCTCGTGGTGCCATCGTTTGCAGTGTACGCAGGACGTTGTTTCGGTGTCCATCAGCTTCTGTGAGGCGGTTGACGCGCACAAATGAACAAGGTGACGCGAGGCTGCACTTGAATTCACTCAGCCAAGGTCGCCGTGGCACGTGTGTTGTGTGATTGCAGGTTCCCAAAGGTTCGCTGCCTCCGCTGCCTAACGTCATTTATGTGACGGGCCTGCTCGAGCAGACGCACGAGCTGACCGAGAAGCTGCGCAGCTTCTTGACGCGCGGTGTGCGGGACGCCAAGCAGGCCCTGGAGACCAGGGACTACGACAAAGTGCAGACGTTGCTGGATGAGCTCAAAGACGGTCAGCCACCCACCCAGACAAACAAACACCACGCTCACCTTGATGTGCTGCTATGTGCTGTGCTGTGTGTGTTGCGTGTGTGCGGTTGTAGGGATGCCAGAGAAGTGGCACCGATTGGTCCGGCAGGTAGAGATGGTGTCGCACGAGCTGGCCGAGCAGCGCAGCGGGAAGGGCTACCCCTCCGAGATGCCGCCCAAGGTGGAGGTGCCCATACCGGTCGGCGGGCGCAAGAAGATGCTCGGGTGGAAAGTGGGTCTGCCCAACCCAAAACCTGTTGAATGAGCTGACCTGAGCCGGGTCAGTTGCTGCTGTGATGTGAGCGGTCTGTCACAGTGATCTTGCGGATCTCTGCGTCAATGCACCTCAATGGGTCTGGGCATGAGATTTATCTTTCCGGGATTCATGTCAAGATTGACATTTCCCTCCCTTCCGCCAGCAAGTCGGTCATCAGGTGAATGACTGACTGACTGACTGAATGAATGGACGCCAATAGAATGGATGGACGTCTGCACTACTGACATTTCCTTGCGGCCCTCGCCTTCACACGTTACACACAAAGTCCTCTTCGTGCCTCTTGCGCCTAGGACATTGCGTGAAACCGCTCGTGAATCCAAATTGGCTGATGAAGCGTGCTGCAGCCGCTGCGCCATCCAGCAGACGTGGCAAGGCGCCGCGCCGTGATAGTAGCCGGCCGGAGGTGTCATCAGCAGCTGCTGCTCGTGGTCCCTTCGACGCGGCTGAGTATCGTCCCGGCGGCAGCTTCGGCACATCGCAGCTTCGGTTTGGCACGTCAGGATACCACTTCGGTACGCTCTGCATGCATCGGCGCGGACACACAAACAGACAACAAGGATGGACAGCGCACCCGGTCCGGCAGATCTACGGGCTTGATCATTGTGCTGCATGCGCTGGTGTGTGCAGAGCACTGGTGTGGGACGTACTACCCCGACAATCTCAAGAAGAAGCCCAAAGAGCAGTTCAAATGGTGAGGCATTCTCTCTCTCTCGCTGGTGTGCGCCTGCACTGACCTGCCTCTCTTTGTGTATGCAAACAGGTATGCGGCCGAGTTCGATTGTGTGGAGATCAACGCCACCTTCTACACGATCCCTGAAGCCTCGCAGTGGCGCAACTGGAAGGTGTGGACGGGCTCACGGGCAGACACCGTGGCTGTGCTGGTGTGTGTCACCTGTCTGTCTGTCTGTCCGTCCGTCTGTCTGTCTGTCGTGCAGGCCTCTGCACCCCGGGAGTCGTTCATGTACATCATCAAGGCCAACAAGGTCTGTCAATCGACTCACACAGAGACCGAGCCGACCTGACGCATACGTATGAGTGTGTGTGTTCTGCAGTACTTCACCCACCAGAAGAAGTTGATAGCCGACGAGGCCTTCACGGAGAGGTGGGAGACCTTCTACAGCCGCTGCCAGCTGCTGGGCGACCACCTGGGGCCCATCCTGTTCCAACTGCCGCCCGCATTCAAGTGCAACGCCCAGCGACTTGCCGACCTGGCCACCGTTCTGCCCAAAGACGGTAGGCACGCGAGCTGCAGACACTTGACACACCCACACACACAATGACCTATGTCTGTGTGTGTGTTTGGTGTTTTGTGTGCAGGTCGTTTCGTGTTTGAGTTTCGCCATCCGTCGTGGTTTTGCGAGGAGGTGTACAGCGTGCTGCGGGCCAACGACTGGTGCCTGGCGCAGATTCACCTTCACAACTGCAGCGAGGGCGGCGGGGGCAAAATGTGGGCCGGCGACATGCAGAGCGGTGGGTCCTTCGCCCAGCCATGCACACCATTCAGCCACCCACGTCATCCTCTGTGTCGATGTGTGTGTCAGGGTGGCACCCGAAGCGCGAGGAGCACTCGTGCTGCTCGTGGGGGCTCTATTACCGCCTGCACGGGCCGAGCGGCCAGTACATCGGCAGCTACGACGCACAGGAGATGCAGGCAGTAGCGATGGAGATGCTCGCCTTCACGTCTGGCCAGGGCCAGGAGAGCACCACCCAGCGGCGGGCCTTCTGCCTCTTCAACAACACCGACGCCGGCACGCCGCCCGGCGCCATAAGCGACTGCCGCACCGTGGCTCACTTCTGCGCCAACCCTGGTATGTTGGATGGATGGATGGATGGATGTGTCTTATGTGTCCTGTGTGTCATTTGTGCAGGTCAGTTGGGTTAGCGTTAGTGGTTGGCCTCCCACCTAGCAGAGCACACGGCCGATTGAGAGGTCAGATATATAGAGGGAGGAGTGACGACCGGTCTGACACACAAACAAGGGAGACAGACAGTTGCGGGGACCTGATGGAGGGGCTCTGGGCTGACTGGGTGCGCCATAGTAGAGGCGGCCGGGCGGGGACGGAGGGAGAGGGGTGTCGACTGGCTTGTGTGTGTATATCTATCCGTATTTGTTGTCGTCTGTAGAGAAAGCAAGGTGGCATTATGTGGGTGGGGGGTGTGTGGAGGCTGACACACCTCACAAATGGTCGGCCGTATGTACCTCTTTATTCCCGTGTGCCTTGATGTATGGTATGTGGGTATGTTTGCAATGGACCTCACACCACATACTGATGAGTGGCTTGAATGCGGTCTGTCTACCAGGGTCAAAGTCAGCTGCGCCATGCATGATACACGGACACAAATGCATAAACGTACCGAGGCGCTCTGTCTAGCCAGGTGAGGTCAGGCCAGGCCAGGCAGACACCACCGTGACGAAGAAACCCCACTCACTCATATACATCGCTGCGACCATCGATCGAGCCCATCCATCCACCAGACTGCAAACCGAAAAGACACATTCCTTCATTCATTGATTGGATCTTTGACATGGTTGGTTCATCTCAATGAATGTCCGTCAAGCTGACATCGGATATGCAGAAGACGATAGCTCGCCAGTCATGTCGTCACTAAAGACACGAACTGTACAAACAGACCTCTATGTGTCCAACAGACAGCGACTGCCAGAGCGACAAGGTATACACAGCAGGGCCATCATGGCAGCAGCCACATCCCTTCTCGCCACACGACACCATCAGCGTACAGCTATGCGGCCCAAATAGCTAGCTAGCTACATAAACGTACCGCGACGAATTATTCAACACCCATTGGCTGATTCTACGCATCAGGCGATCCATCCCTTCTGCGCCGCACCGACCTCCAAAGTCAGTCACCGCGCCACCCAATCCCTCGGGTGTGTATACAGACAGGGAGAGCGAGAAATGTATCCGCCCATCGACTCACTCCCCGACCACGTGCACCACCTCTATCTCATCCGCATGGAAGTGCTCCGACCCGCCCATCCTCCCCCGTACACCCCACATGCAAATCATCGCTCCAGGTGTACTGACTGCACGCAGCTGCGGATGCCGGGACACTCACCGGCGCGTCGGACAGACACCCCATCCCACCCAGACGCAACAGAAAGTCACACATCGGTCCATCCACTCACATGAACCACAGGCAAACAGATCGCTCTCTCTCTGCATGTGCCTGTCCATTCCCTCGCCCGCCCCCCTGTGCGCATCTCTTTCACCGCCCGGCAACCCTAAAGCACCAACACCCTTCGTGGGCTGACGCTCCAGATTGCCGACCGACATCAGAGATGCCCACAGAGAG